ACAACTTGCAATGTCATTCCAGCAGTCATCAGATGCGGCGAGATCTTTAGCACCTTCAGAGATCCATGCAGTAAACAGCAGGTTAGTCAATAAACATCAACCCCAACAGAGCATTCCAACTTATGCTAAACAGCCTGCTCGTTCAAATCCTAGATCTAAATCTAATAATAATTATCAAAAATGTCATCGATGCAAAGGTCCCCATGCATCTCATCGGTGCAAGTTCAAGTCTGCAACTTGTTATAAGTGCAGTAAGCAAGGTCACATTGCTAAGGCCTGCTTTGCAAAGTCTTCGTCTGTTGCTAAATCTAGCCAGTCAAGACAGTACCGCAACCAAAGGCAGCACTATGTTAACTCTCACCAAGACTACCTAACCCAACCAATGAACCACTCTACCTGTGAAAATGCTCAAACTGATTCGCAGCCGGATTTCAACCTGTTCTCTGTGAAATCAATAAGTCATGCTCCCATCAATGTACAAGTTAATATCAACGGTAAGAGCATCAGCTTCCAACTTGACACTGGAGCATCTCTAACAGTCATAACAAAGAAAGATTTTGACGCTGTCACAGGAGGATCAGTGTCTCTACAGCCATGTCACAAGTGTCTAACAACATACACTGGTGACAATGTTCCGGTAATAGGAGAGTGTATGGTTCATGTAAGTTATAATGGTCAAAGTGTTAAACTTCCTCTTCTTGTGGTTGAAGGAAATGGACCACCATTACTAGGTAGGAACTGGTTAAGTGATCTTAAGTTAAATTGGGAGAGTATTTGTTCATTGAAGAATGTAAAAGAATCTAGTCTTACTTCACTAGATAGAGTTATATCTGAAAATAAATGTGTTTTTGGTAACTCTGGATTACTAAATGATAGATCAGTGAAGTTAAGCATTAAAGACACAAATCCAAGATACTGCAAAGCTAGAGTTCCACCTTATGCAATGAGGAATAAAATTGAAAATGAGCTAAGTAGATTGGAATCTAATGGCATCATAAAGAAGGTAGATTATTCCGATTGGGCGTCGCCCATTGTGCTAGTGTTAAAGAAGGATGGTTCTATAAGAATTTGTGGAGATTATAAAACTACACTGAATAAGAAAATAGAGCTAAATAGGTACCCTATTCCTAACATTGAGGAAATTTCTTTGAATTTGGCAGGAGGAGACAAATTCACTGAATTAGACTTTAGTCATGCTTACACTCAACTAGAACTGCATCCAGATTCAAAAGTCTATACGACAATAAACACACATAAAGGACTCTACCAATATGAAAGACTATGCTTTGGCATATCATCTAGCCCTGGAATTTTCCAAGCTGTCATGGACAGTATTTTTAAGGATATTCCAAATGTTTGTGTGTACTTTGACAATGTGTACATAACTGGTAAGAATGACACTGAACATCTTAAAACACTTGATAAAGTATTGAAAATTGTTGGTGAAAAAGGTTTAAAGATAAACAAAGATAAATGTCAATTCATGCTGACAGAAATTAGTTTTCTTGGTTATATATTGAGCAAACAAGGCATCAGACCTCAACCTGAGAAAACAAAAGCCATTAAAGAAACACCCAAACCTGAAAATACCCAACAATTAAGAGCTTTTTTGGGCTTAATGAATTACTATGCAAAGTTCATAGGAAATCTGTCTGGTAAACTATCACCACTGTACAAGCTGCTACAGAAAAATGCAACTTGGCACTGGGGTAAACAACAAGATACTGCTTTTAATACAGCAAAAGAGGCTTTGTGTTCTGACACCTTACTAACTCACTATGACCCAGGGAAAAGACTTATATTAACATGTGATGCTTCACCAGATGGTGTAGGAGCAGTCTTGTCCCACATGGATGAGAAGGGTGACAGACCCATTGCTTTTGCCAGTATATCTTTGAACCAGGCTGAGAAAAATTATTCTCAGTTAGATAGGGAAGGCTTAGGCATCATTTTTGGTGTTAAGAAATTTCATAAGTTTCTGTTTGGTAGGAAGTTCACCATCTTTACAGATCATAAACCATTGCTAGGTTTATTTGGAGAAAACAAAACCCTACCTGAGCAGGCCTCACCAAGAATTCAAAGATGGACTATCACACTAACTGCATACAATTATGAATTGAGATACAAACCTGGATCTGAGAATAGTGCAGATAGTCTTAGTAGATTACCTTTAAAAAACCAAAGTCTGAGCTATGTACCAGAAGATGTATTTGTTCTCTTCACTATCATGGATAACTCCAATATAAATGTGAATGATATTAAAAGAGAAACACAAAAAGATGAGTGCTTAATAAAAGTATATGAGCACTGTATGAATGGTTGGCCTGAAGAGTCTGTGAATGATGACTTAAGGCCATATAAAATAAGAAATTAAAACCCTTTGTGAAGATAATATAAAAGATGGAGAAGATGCAGTCCATTATCAGTCAGAGTTGCCTAAACAAAGTATTTGTAACTTAATAAATGATTATGGTGATATGGCGATTTCAAATGTTTTAAAGAGAATACATTAGTAAGAAGGAATGTGATCATCAAACAACTTTACAACATCATTAGCACTTACAGAAACTAAAAGGGTAACATCAAAAGAAGAAAAAGATTTTTGCCATTTAATACACCCACTTCAAATACTGGATCACAGTTGCAAAGTGATATGGTCCAGGATATTACTTTTAAACAGTATTTTTGGTTACCAAAAAGCACTATCAGATTACCTGAGGAAATTGATCAATCAAAGAAATCTATGTCAGTCAAGGATCTGAATAACAGCATAATACTTCCAGATGCCAATTCAAAAATAGTTCCATTAAATCATGACAACACATGCATTGAAAGAGAATTTGGTGTTAATAAGAATGTGTATCTAAGAAATTAGGGGAGAAAGGAAAAATGGATACCAGGTCAAATAGTTCAATGTACAGGACCTGTGTCTTATAAAGTAAAAACAAATGATGGACTTATTGTCCGTAGACATGCAGACCAGTTAAGGGGATATGCGCAGAAAAAAATCACAAAATTTCTTGTTTTTCGTCATGATGGGTTTCTTGCACTTTTGGATACTTTGTCCATTTTTGTATAAAGAAAATAATAACTTTAAAGAGAAAAAAATATTTTATGTGTTGAAATTACGATTTTTATGACCCTATTAATTAAAAAATAATCAATTTTTCCCAATCTTACAAGCTCTCTATGAAAAGTTTTATATCCGTCATTATATTGTATTTGACATCATTGGAAAGCTAGATTTCTCATGTATCTAATAAACTTAATTTCCTTAATCTCGGAAACATACAAAGCTTACAATCTGCTTTGCAGTTTACACAGATATGGTACTTTCCTGACCTAGTTTTCGTTAATTTTGGCTGTTTTTCTCAGTTCACAGGTTTTTGACACTAAAAAGCCTACTACTTTTTTATTTATTAAACAATGCCAACCATATTTTCAGTAAATGTTTTTGATGCGAAAATATAACTTTTGTCACGAGGTAATTGTGATTGCTTTCATAGAAAAAAAGTATTTGGTAATTAATATGCACATTTTGAAACTTTTGAATACTAAAAAGGGTACAATTTTTTAAACCTTGTAAAATTCTTACTAGTAATTATTTCAAAAAGTTGTCGTGACAAAAGTTTTAATATATACTGAAATATAAGCAGTTTAAATTTGATTGCTATAGGTGCATAAATAAAAAAGCCTTAGTATTTTTAAAAGTACCTAAAAATTCAAAATGGCGGAGGTTTTTTGGGTTTCCATGACAACCAAAATTGTTTTTGACCCTCTTTTTTGCTGTTTAATACTTACTTTTATTTGCCAAATATGATAAAAGTATTTAAAAGACTTTAGATCTTAAAGTGTAAAAAATAGAAAAAAACATAGCATATCCCCTTAAAAATAACTTGTGCAGATAATAAGTGTGAATCTGTCAATCCCACCAAATCTGAACAGTTCACATCAACTCAGTTTGTTCCACAACCAAGTTCTGTTGATATGAGTGAACCAAGTTGTCTGGAGTCAGAAAATGTAAATTCTGGAGTTAATGATTTAAATCCTAGACCTCCTGAGATAGAGAATCCAGATGGTCAGAATCTTGAGTCACCAAATCAAAAGCCCCTGAGAAGGTCAAGCAGGACAATCAAAGTCCCAAATAAGTTAGACCTATGATTCTAAAGGTCAAAAGGACTTTGACATCATTGTTTTGTATCTTGATTATGTTGTAGCATATTGTGCATTGTTTGTAAGGATGTAATCTACCATAGTGTTCATGTTACAATATAATTGGTGATTTTAGGATACTATCAATTGTTCTATTGAGAGATGTGTTAATGTGTTCTAAGGGTAAAGGGATGTAATAGATTGAGATAATTGTGAGGTCAAGGGAACTCACTCTTCTGTATTAGTATTATATTTATATTGTTATCTTGAGTGATGTCCCTGGTATATCGTACTTCCTCTTCCTCTCTCCTTCATGGCTGTAATTAAAGACTGTTAACAACCAACGCGGCTTCTCGTCAGTGATTACAATCTATCACATATACAAAGTTTCAAATCTGATATTAATTTGCCCCACGTTACATTAAAAAAAAAAATAAAAAATAAAAGTAAGTTATTTTGATGTTCTCAACAATTTATTAAATTAGTTAATTACTATTTATTAAAACAAAAAATTGTATTATTGTTGATTTAATATACAGTCAAGTTATGTAAATAGTAATAACATTGCAATAAAAAAATCGCAGCAATAGACATTATAGACCAGGTCACAGTCATTAGATACTGCAATAATGGGTTGACGTTAAAAGTATTTTACAAGACCATCTTGCATTTTCTTGTCAACGTGTGGCAATACATTATGTTTAAAAATTTAGAAAGATTCTAGTAATTCCATAGAGGGTTGGCGGGAGATTTACAACATGTTTTCGTGATTTAATGCGTTGATCTAGCAGTCTTATTATGCCTATCAGAACACGTTATATAATTTTCTTTTACCACCCTATTGTCAGCCGCGAAGTTTTTTACACAACGCCCACAAGCTAAGAACAAGAACACAACTGGATTTGAGCTTCAATGGGCAGCTTCTACACATGGATCCAATATATCGCTCAGTGTGTCGTGGGTGTCGGACAGTGATGAAACAGATAGAGGAACACAAGCTGCCAATGAGAGCGGTGTGACGGTGACTGGTCTAACACCAGGTACCAGCTACAGAGTCACTGTCTTCACGGTCCTTCATCCACAGGGATTTTATACTGCTAAGAACACCAGCACTGTTTTAAACATTGTGACGTGTGAGTAGTAGTTTTTTCCTCGCAAAGATTTAGCTTTAGCTTTAGTTTTACCTCCATCCCTATTTATTTTTTTCTTTGGTAATTTTCCTTATCGCAATATCAATTTTCTTCTAACATTATAGCTCTATGCTTTAAGTTTGAAAACTAGTTTGAAAAAAAAATTATGAATTAATCAATTAATACGTTGTTACTCTTGACATTCTAGGTATTTTGGGCTCGTTTTGGTAAGGTGTAACAATAGTAAATAAAACAGAATCCACAAAGAGAATATGTATCATTTACGTGAAAATTTTAACAACCCCAAAGAAAAAAAAATGACAAGAAAAAATAAGTCATTCGGTATACTGTGTTGACATCACACAATATTTCTTGACACACTCACATTCACACCTCCTTCCCTCTTCCCTAGCACGCCACTTTTAAAGGGATGCCACCCTCACAAACTCTCTCTTTCTCAGTGTCTACACATTTCATTTTAGACAACCATGTGACAAAGTAAATTTGTTACTTAATTAGTTAAGTTTTTTTAGAAATATTATCCTATTTCAAAATCCAGGAATGTAATATAATGTATTGTAAGTGTTAATTTTGGATACACATATTTATAAGTTTGAAGTTCTTTGTATTAACCAAAACTATTTCATGTATTATTATTCAATCACAGCAACTTGAATTTGACTAATCATTGTGTATTTTGAATAGCAACATTGTTTTAAAATATACAAATACATTTTTAAAATATTTAGCAGAACCTTTTTTTCAATTTTAGACCCAGCTCAACCAGGTCCAGTGAACACCACAGCCAGTGAACTCGAAAAACCTCCTTATATCATAAGATTTCAACCATCGGAAGGAAGGGTAGATAACTACACTATCAGTTTTGAATCGAAACTTAAATTACTGAATGTTACAGTGGTCTCCCCTGAAGTCAATACTACAGATCTTCAAGCAGACACTATCTACAAATACAGCATTAAAGCGGTCAATTCTGTTGGTGATAAAAGTGCTGAAGTAGAAGGAAGTTTTAAAACAAATTCATCGGATGGTAAGATTTTAACTTCACTTTTAGTGATCTTCGACAGGGCCTCACCTAAAATCCAGAGAGGAAAGGGAAAAGTTGCTGACAGACGGAAGACCTAAAAAATTATCATTAAAAAAGTTTTAAAAAACCCACGTTTTCTGATTGAACTAAAAAGTAGAAAATAAATGCTATAAATCACAATAATGCAAGCGATCACTCTACTATAAGCGATGAAAAACGTGGGGCGCCGAAGTAAAAGTTTTTTATCGGTCATTGTTAATATAAGATGTAAAAGTTATATTACTATTGATTAGATAATACCATTGACATTTATTAGGGAGCTTGTAGAGAGACAGCAGTATTAGAAACTGTAAGAAAATCACGGCGCCATGGATCAATTTAGTAATAATAACAATTGAATATTTTATTGTCATCGGAAACAAAGCTTCCCTGAAAATTTCAGCGCGCTAGCTAACTGGGAAGTGCCCGAAATTTCGATCGCAAGATTTGATTGGAAAGACGCGAAAGCAAGTTAAAGAAAACGTGGGAAAAAGACACCAAGTAGAAGAGCCAAGAAATGAAATGCCTGAAAAGCTCTTTTCAGCGGCCTATATCCCAGGATACGCCGCTGTCTAACCTAACCTAAACTATCTTAGCACTGGAACCCGAGATCACGGTATTATTTACTTCGAAGGCATCAAGTGCACCAAATGTATGCTTCCGATACGTGACTGGCACCACCATCAGTGGCGAAAATTTAAAAAAAGGACCTCCCGGAAAAAAAATTGCCTGACTTCCCCCTTATATATATATATATATATATATATATATATATATATATATATATATATATATATATATATATATATATATATATATATATATATATATATATATATATATATATATAAAAAGCCTCACTAAATTTTAAATTAGTTTTGAACTGTTTCCTAAGTTAGTAATTAAACCAATTTTTTTGCAAAGTGTCCCGCATTGGTTGTTGACTATGTGCGAGAAGGCAGTGTACATCTGCGAAATCCAAGGCTTCGAGTTGATGTGTTCGTTGAATTCCAGTTTGATTTTCTCTAGCTTGTCGCATTATAGAACCAACCAGCCAACAAAATACCCATGTCGTAAACAAATTGTATAAATAATGTTTTTGATAATTTGCTATTTTTGTCACTTGTATGATCTTATTCTAACACTCTACTGATCCAGCTATGTACCATATCATAACAGACTGTTCCAAAGATAGAACATAAAAGATTGGTCTAAACCGATTAGCGCCTGCTATTAACTACCCGCTTTTATCTCAGATGAGGCTTATTTTTTCTGACATAACTAATCTTTATTTAAAAGGATAACCTTTATGGAAATTGTATTGGCGTCGAGTAAACTTTAAGGGGAGAAAATCATATATGAAGGTTCGCACCGGGCTCAATGAGGTGTAGCTACGCCTCACATCCTATGCCCAACTGCCTTTTACTCAACATTTTCGGATTAGCACTTTTGCATTCTACCGTTCAGCCACGCCTATCCTTCTTATCAAAAACAGCAACACCTTTTTAAAAAGAATTTTAATAATTTTTTTAAATAGTTTCAGCTCAGCCCGACATCGGGATGATAACAGGTGCGACAGTTGGATCCTTGGTGTTTTTTGTTTCTCTGGTTATTGTCGGCATCTTGATTTATGGTAGAATGCGTCATAGGAATGCAAAAACTGGACAAAATAAAAGGTAAATTGGAGCTGAATTGCGCTGTTGAAAATATTTCAATGTTTTTTCTTTATATATATATATATATATATATATATATATATATATATATATATATATATATATATATATATATATATATATATATATATATATGACGAATTGTCGTCCTCCAATAGAATATAGTTGAGTTTTATGAAATGAAAACCGCTTTTAATTACACTTAATTGTAATATATCTAATGCAGCATGAATACATTTCTTGTATAATTTTCACTATTTTTTGTTAAGGGAGCGCGAAGAACGACCCGATTCAACAAACGAAAGTAAGAAGATGTAATAATTTCATGTAGTTTTTCTAAGATTGGTTCGTATGCTGAATTCTTATAAATTTTTCCTTGGTGATTCTGTTCACATAGTTACCTAACACGTATTGTTCAAACAGATGAAGAGGCCTATGATTCTCTTGACGACACAATAAACCAGATGTGTGTCGATGCAGATCACTATGACAGGTACAATGTATTACGAGGAATAAATTCTGAATTTGTCCAAGGCAACTCACCACCTCTTCCCCCACGGCCACAACCGAATCAGTATATGGATTTAAGGCTTGTACCCATCGAAAAAGCGGAACACGTTTTGAAAGACATGTCCATGGATTTAATGAATACTGGCGTTACTAGTGATTCTCTAGAAGAAGGTAATGCTGAAGAAACTGATCTAATAGAAAGTAACTTTTTGAGCTTAATCGACACATCGAATGTAGATTGTACAGAAAAATGTGAGTCATCAAAGGTGAAGATAGACCCAGTCAATCAAACAGAAGATTCTAGTGAAAACCTCGATGAAATTAGTGGCGAATCAGAAACAGCTTCTACAGTGAACGGCTACGACTCCTTAATGACACGCACTGCCCGTACAGAAGAAAACAAATATTTTTCGTTTACCGATGACCCTCACAATAAAACAAGTGTTGATAACGATGTAATTAACACAGACAAAGATGGGTACCTTTCTCCAACAAAACCAACTGCAGCAGATAACACGAAAGAAGAAATCGATGTCCAAAACGAAATTAAAAACATAGAGAATGACGGGTATCTTAGCTTAATAAATTCAAGCTTAGATGATGAAAGACATACGCTTGACAGTTCAGAACCAAAATACATTCACGTAGACAGCTGTCAAGGCAGTCCTTCTCTCCCAATTAAGTCTGACCAAATAGACGAAGAAAACGACCAAAGCTATATACACCCCATTGGCCCCGATGACCCTTCTCTGCCTATCTCGTACGGATACCATAAATGGGATGGGGCAGAAGATGCAAGCAATCAAGACACAACTGATACTGAAGTGTAATGGATGGTGACGTTAAAAACCAACATAACTATCATGGGTTAAATATCCAAACATTATATCAGCTTTTTTTGCACCCGCATCAAATCCCA